CTGGGAGGCTCCCGGGTTCGAAGGAGACGGAGGGCGGCGGGGGTCCGGGATGACAGGGAGCGACCTGAGTCCTAGCGAGGGCGTAGAGGAATGGCGGGGAGCGGGTGGGAACCCCCCTGAGCATCCGTAACAGTAGGGGGGAGAAGGACTCCGGGGAGTTAGGGAGCTGCGGGTCTCGGGAGGGTCGGTCCCGTGGAGACCTCGAACAGCTTGGGCGGAACCGGAGCGCCCTGCCCCCCCACCGCTGGTCTCGGATGGGAGACTCAAGGCTGAACTAGGAACTGCTGGGTCTAAGGATCCCCAGACACCGGGCGGGGGGTGTATTCTCGAGGAGTAACTCGGGTTTGAGACGGGGTGAGAGGTCCAGCCGGGGAGTGGAGGCTCTTTCAGTTAGGAGTCCGGCTGAACCACCAGCAGGTGGGCGGGGAGAAATAATTTCCTTGTGGGAAGGGAGGAGAAGGTGGGGCGGAGCAGGGGCGAGCCGGTTGCTCCGAGGAGAGCAGTGGTCTCGTGCAACTGGCCAGGAGATGAGGGGCTTGAGCAGCGAGGTCATTAATAAGCTCTGAGGACTTGAGAGAGAGGAGGAACCTCAGCTTCCTAATGCGAAGATGCCATCCAGAACCAGAGAAAGGGTCCTGAAGGCAAGGGGAAGGGACTCACCTTCCAGTGTTTTCGGCAAGAAATTTGTTTTAGGGATGACAGCAGTTAATATTAGAAAATAGGGACGTTGACAGGATGGGGGCCTTTGGAAGAGGAAAGGGGAGGACTATGAAGAAGTAGGACTGGGGACTTGAACAGAGAGAGGGGAGACATGCAGAGGAGGGGCACACCCTTGCCAAGTTAGAAAGACGTTTGAATTCTAGTTCCACCGCTTAGCTTAGACAACTTCACCTCTCTGCAAAGGTTTTCTCATCTGTATAATAGGGATGATAGTAACTTCTACTTTATAGGTTTGCATTTTTCACACGAGTTAATATTTGTAGAACTTGTAGAATAGTGACTGGTACAGAGTAAGCGTGTGTCCTGGATTTTTAAAGAGAGGATGAAGACAGACCAGAGTTCTTTAAGGAGGTGGTTCTCAAACTTGAGCTTGCAGCGGAATCACCTGGGGGGCTTGGTAAACTACACACGGCTGGCCCCAGGGCATTTCTGATTCAGTATGTCTGGGTGGGGCTTAAGAATTTACGTTTATTTCAGGTGATGCTTATGTTGATCCACTTTAAGAACCACTGTTATTTATTTATTTGTTTGTTTATTTATTTTTAATTCTAACCAGAGGATATTTTTCTTTTCTTTTTTTTTTTTTAAGAGAGAGTGGAAAGGATGGGGAGAGACAGAGAGAGAGAAATTTAGATGTGAGATCGACTGGTTGCCTCCTGGGCGGGGGATTGAGCCTGTAACCCAGGTATGTTTCCCTGACTGGAATGGAACCGAGGGCCCTTCAGTCAGTGGGCCAATGCTCCATCCAGTGAGCAAAACTGACTGGGGCAGAAGCCACTGCTTTAAATGAAAACAATAATATTGTGGCAACCTTAAAATACCTGTCTACCCTGCTAGGGTCAGAGGCATATTGCAAAAAATATCTTAATCTAAGGGGCCCTCTATTTTAAGCTTGTTTTTCAAACTGTGGATCATGATTTACTAGTAATTTATCAAATCAGTTTTTAGTGGCTTACACTATCCAGGGGGTGTGCAGGAGTCAGCCAATGGATGTTTTGCTCTCACATCGGTGTTTCTCTCTCTCTCCCTTCTCTCTAAAAAAAAAAAGAAAAAAGAAAAGAAAAGAAAATGAAATAGATGAACAGAATTGACTAGCATTGCACTTGGTAAGGAAAAGTATTGTTTTGGGAAATTTCTCTCATACATTTGTAAGTCACAATGTAATATGTATTTCTGACAGTCAAAAAACTGAAAAACTGTCTTGAGCCATACAGTGCAGTAGGAGTATTTAGGGACTGGGTTTATTACTTATTTGTCTTCTGTTTGTGCTAACTCTTTCTCAGGTTGTGAAAAATTCTATTAAATTTCTTCAGTTTCTGATTTTATTTCTTCTGTGTTTGCCTTATCATATATCGCGTTGTACCTCTTTTTAGATATTGAGACTCTTTGGTATGAGAACTTAAGGGAAGTTGAGGCAGAGAAATGAAATTGAGTGGTGTTTTTCAGATGTGATGTGGCACACCTTGTTTCACTTATGCCTCCTTGTTTAACCCTTTCTTTTTTACCACCCTACTGTAAAATATTGTTTGTAAAAAACCCTAAATATACACAGACATATTAAATATTAACACTGATATGGACTGGTTTGAGAACAGTATATATATATATATAGAAAATAAAAACCAAGTATGACACATTTCAAAAGAGAAAAATGAAAGGGTATTTGTTTTTTAGAGTAAAAGTATCGTAAAACTGTTCATGGCCTTACACTAATACAAAACATAATGGAAAAGCGTCTTAAAATATTTTTATTTTTATTTTTTAATATATTTTTATTGATTTCAGAGAGGAATGGAGAGGGAGAGATAGAAACATCAATGATAAGAGAGAAGCATTGATTGGCTGCCTCCTGCATGTCCCCACTGGGAATCGAGCCCACAACTTGGTTGGGCATGTGCCCTGACTGGGAATGGAACCATGACCTCCTGGTTCATGCTCAACCACTAAGCTGCACCTAGATGGGCTAGGAAAGCATTTTAAAGGGAACCAGATATATTTCACTGTATTTTAGATTTTTGGAGAGAGAAGAAATAGTGATGAAGCATGCAACAGACTGATGTACTAGTATTTCAGAGGGAAGGGGGCAGTGGGTATATGCATGCATACAAGTCCTTTGGTTGATCTCTTACCGCCCCCTGCCACCCAACCCTTCCCCGGCTTCCCGCTGTAGTTTGACAGTCTGTTCAATGCTGCTCTGGCTCTGTATCTATTTTTGTTCATCAGTTTATAATGGTCTTTATTATCCATAAATGAGTGAGATCATGTGGTATTTTTCTTTCATTGACTAGCTTATTTCACTTGGCATAATGCTCTCCAGTTCCATTCATGCTGTTGCAAATGGTAAGAATTCCTTCTTTTTTACAGCAGCATAGTATTCCATTGTGTAGATGTACCACAGTTTTCTAATCCATTCATCTGCTGATGGGCACTTAGGCTGTTTCCAAATCTTCACTATGGTAAGTTGTGCTGCTATGACAGTCGGACATATTTAGTGCTGCTGCGGAGATGGGAGAGGCTCCCATCACTGCCATGGTTCGTAAGCCTGGCTTCTGGCTCAGCGGTGCTCCCGCTGTGGGAGCACACTGACCACCTGGGGGCAGCTCCTGTATTGAGCGTCTGCCCCCTGGTGGTCAGTGTGCATCATAGCGACCGGTATGGATTTGTTTGGTGGATTTGTGTATTACCCTTTTATTATGTAGGATAGGATTATATAGGGTAGGTTATGCATAACCCATGGACACAGACAGTAGTGTGGTGAAGGCCTGGTTAGGAGGTGGGAGAAGGGTGGAGGCGGTCAATAGGAGGAAAAAGGGAGACATTGGTAATACTTTCAACAATAAAGATCAATTTAAAAAAGAAAATAATAGTAATAATACTGGATAGTAAAATACACCTATGGCAGAGGCTTAACAGCAAAGTAAATAGTTTATTAAGTAGGAGCTTTTTTTCTGATGGTTTTCTCCCTTGGGAATGAACTGGATGTGGCATATGCTGTTAATATAACTTGTTTGAAGGACCTAAATGTAATCCACTTTAAGGTATATTGAGAATATATATGTGTGTTTTGTGCTGTTCTTGGTTTGATTTTTCTATAAAAACTAGGTGGTTTATTATTTGCAAAGGGTTTATTTAGATCTGTTTTTATGGGTATAAGAACAGAGAAAGCAGCATTGAAAACAGATTGTTGCATCTCTCTTTAAAATTTTAATCTAGTGGATTTATGTAACCCTTTCATTAATGTTTTGTAAAATTGTGAAGAAACTACTGATGAGGCTTTGCAGTAGGATGTTAAGATAATTTTTTCTCTCTCAAAAATTATTTGTAGTTTTAGTTCAGATTTTTATGTTTTGTTAAAATTTTTATTTTTGTTTGGAAGACTGCAAAACAATCATTGCATGTTTGAGTTGAAAATCATAAGTAATCTTTTCACAAAACAAATTTACTGATTTTGGGGAACAAAGGTTCCAAGGATGAAAGCTTTTGAATTCCTCTCATTGAGTTAAATGTAGCATCACTACCACCAAAATGATTATTCTTTGAATTAGTGGTCACCAACCTTTCAGACCTCACGGATCACCAGTGGTTCACGGACCACTGGTTGGCGGCTGCTGCTTTAAATCATTATACAGTTGGTGGGCACATTTGTTAGATCATTCAGTTCTTTACTAATTGATGGAGGAATGCAAAATCTTAATAATCAAGTGTGGGAAAATGTAAAAGCTCATCCTTATAATATTAAGTATTGACTTGTTTGATTACTTCTGTTTTATTTTTCTTTATTGATAGAGGTGGGGGCGATATGACTTGTTCATTTATGTATTCATTGGTTGCTTCTTGTATGTATCTTGACTCTATCAAACCTGCAACCAGGCATATCCAGACAATGATCTAACCAACTGAGCTACCTGGCCAGGGCTACTTACTTTTCCTTTATTTTTTCTTACATATTTTTATTGCTTTTTAGAGAGAAAGTGAGAGAGAAACATTGTTGTGAGAGCTTAACATGT